TATGTATGTATGTATGATGTATGTGTGTATGTATGTGAGTGTGTGTGTATGCGTCTGCACGTAGTCTACTTCTTATGTAGTTTGCCGTGCTGAGAAGCACAGTCCAAAGACTGAACCCGGCGACGCCGTCCCAGGTTCAGGCCTTGAAAGCACTCGCCAGCAGGAGCGAACTTGTTTTCTCGTCTTGGTGCAGCGTGGGTTGTATACGGGCTTCATACACATCTTTTACGATGCTTGGGGTGCGGGGTTTCGAGGTCTGCTTGTCTCTTCAAGGATGTACTGCTGCTACGATTCTTGTCTTGTGATACTGATGACGCCCGCGGTGATTGCGATCAAGCGGCTCTTTCATGGGTCATGCTGGTGGGGGTGGTTTTGGTGATAATGCTTTGTTCCGAATGTTGGTGATGCATCTGCCGTTGATGAACAGGGTGCCTTCGGCTTCGGGCAGCAGCAGCAGTCCAGTGTCACCAGCAGCAGTTTTGTCGTTGTGGTTCATACTGGTGCTACAAGTAATTAGCATTATCCTGTCTTTTCTTTGGGTTAAGGAGCTTCGGAATTCGTCTTGAAGGCTGGGGTCTCCAGGTTTAGGACAGCCATGGCTGTGTGGTTTGCAGCCCGTTGTGCTAAAGATGTCATAGGCGCGCTTCATAATGGAGTGCACTTATCGAAGTCTCGAGACACCTAACTGGCAGCACTTTCTTCTCTGTTGGATTTTATGGCTGGCTCTGCCTTGTGATCGAGTCGTGATCATTTGCCTCTACGATGTAGGACCATGCCACTCTCCCTACCCTGATCTGTGATTTGCGTGTGAAGGGTTTCGTGGCTAAGGGTCAGGAGTTGCCGGTGCGGAGTATGTTCCTAGCGTGGGGATCTCTCCCCTTGGTTTCGGCGTGTCGCACAGGACAAGCGGCATGCTGGCCAAATTCAAGTTCTTGTTGACCTTTTTTACAGATAAAAGACCTAAAGCCTAAATCTCAAACCGTAAACCCTAAACCCTAAACCCTAAACCCTAAAACCCTAAAGCCCTAAACCCTGAATCCTAAATAAACTCTAAATAAAGCCCCGAAAAGTCTCAAGGATGAGGCATGAGTTAGATATCCCTGCGAAGCCCGCAGATGTCGAAGCCAGGAGCACCAATACAGGGGCCTTGATAGCTAGAACAGGATGTTGGGATATGTTATATTATGGACATCTGAGGCCCCGAGGGTATGTCATATGTATTATGGATGATATATATATATATATATTTATTTATTTATTTATTATTATTATCATCATTATTATTACGCTTATAGTTATTATTAGTACTATATGTATATATGGATCTCTGGGAACAGTGTTTCAATTTATCCAGTCTTCTTGCTCAAGCCATGTTCCACCCTGGATGTTTTCTGCTTGGCACAGGAACGTGATTGCTTTGGAGGAAGCCTTCATGTGGAGCAACCAGGTGCCGGAATTTTCTGGGGTGATCAGCTGGGCTGCAGGCTTTATCGTGTTAAGTTTGGGCTTTAGGGTTTAAGTTGATCCAGATTTTGCTCCTACACTCTGTAGTGCTTCTGCTCTATGGATTTCCGTGGTGCGTCTGCGCTCACATTAATTAGGATTCGGATGATGTTGCCACATGACTATTGCTACTTCCAATCAGAACATGTTTCTTTTGATTGGCCCTTTTACTCCTGCAGTTGTTCAAATCTCCAGAAGTGGGCTTAGAGTGCAGGTGAAAGGATGAGCGTGAAAGATGTCGTCGTCGTTAGACGAGTCATTGGCTCAGCTTGGACTCTCAGTTCCCCAAGCCGGGTAACGAACCTTTCTCACCCAAACCCTTTCATCCGCTGACCCACATCTAAACTTATCATTTGATACCGCAACAACTTATGCAGGAACTCTTACAGAATTCTCTCGACAAGCAACCCTGTTCTAGCTACATACTGCAGCCTCTGTATGCTAGGGTCTCGGACGGAGTTCCTCCCCGGTTGCAGGTTCTCGCGCGCTTGGAGTGCATGGAGGGCGGCAGCTTCCGCAGCTACCTGCGAGCAGTGGGCCAAGTGACGGGAGTTTGGGGATGTTTGGGTTCCTTTCCCACATATGACAAATAATTGGTCGGCCTCTTGCGCCTTTTCATACTCCTCATCATCAGTTCGGATAACGGCCAGCGCCGCTATGCCTTGAAAGAAGCCCTGTCCGGCTAGTACGACGACCATGTCGCTGGCATGTTTGTGATGATTATGAAGGTCATTGCTTGCTCCCTCGTCGTGCTGCTACTACAATTACAGTTCGCACGTCTACTCCTACAGTCCTAATGTAGGGGCCTTAATATAAATAGAATAGGGTCTTGGGGCTCCTGAGTATCATTCTAGCATTATGGGCCCCAATACCCTTTTCTAATCATTAACGCCCGTATACTATACTACTGGCGAAAGAGCCGCAACACCGAGAATCAGCTAGCTCTGAGTCTTTTCAGACCCGAGGCCGCAGAGGCTGCTTGCAAGTCTGGATGGCTTAAGGGCTTTAGGCTTTGGAGGGCTTGGGGCAAGGTTTAGGGATTAGGGTTTAGGGGTTAGGGATTAGGGTTTAGGGTTTAGGGATTAGGGTTTAGGCATTACGGCATATGCATTAGGGCTTCTTGCTAAGCTGCTAGTGGTCAGGCTTCAGCAGCTTCATCTCTCCGAGTCTGCTCGGTGAGCTCAGGGTTACCGGGCTTCACGGCATGTCACGGTTTAGGCTCAGCAAGTTTGCAAGATTCCAGATGATTTATGCCTTCAGTGTGTATATTGCAGTGTTTCAGGCAGGTTACAGCTTGCGGCAGTTGGCCTCAAGCATTTTGTAAAGAGGCGCGGAGGCTTTCAGGGTTTAGGGCATAGGGTTTAAGTTTAGGGTTTAGGGTGTGCTTATCCAGTCTTGGGCTTAACATATTAGGGGTTTCAAGTGTCCGATGGTTGAATAAACCGACGCTCGGCGAGCAATGACCTGAAGACGAGATACCTGGAAACCAGCCAGAACCCGCTTAAACTCCAAAACTCTAAACCTCCGAGACCCGGAACCCTGAGCCCTGAACGCTAAATACACCCACCATCCCCAAAAACCCTAAACTAAAAATCCCTGAAACCCGAAACCCTACTTGGAGGTTCTGGGTAGTTATAAGTGGGGCTATAAGTAGGGTAACTATAGCTCTAACCCATATTTGGGGACTTATAACCCCACTTATAACTACCCATGAACCTCCAAGTAAATAAACCTAGCCCCTTAAAAACCCCCGAACCTCCGAATTTCTCGACAAGGGAAAGTCCCCCGGCAAGGTCTCCGAGGAGGGTGCTTTCCTTTCGGGCTTGCGCGTTCTTTCATTTTTTGTGTTTTCCGAGGGTTTTTGGTTGAGGGTTTAGTGATGAGTGTATTTTGTTGTTTTTGATGTGTGGTTTGGCTTTGCGCCGTTTGCATGGGTGCTTCGAGCCCTGATTAAGAAACCCTGGCCACATAACCCCCCAAAATATCAGGATCCATATAAAAAGCCTAATAAACACAGGGTAGCTTAATTAATCGGTTCCTACATTAGTGTCGAGTTTTGGATCATGGTGTTCGGTCGGGAGTTCGACGGGTGAAGGGTGCAGCAGGACCCAAGGTCGTCCAAACTGACACCTTGCTCTGGCACCTCGAAGCACTTAAGCTTGGAAACGCCCATTTACCCGCAGGCTCCATTGTAGTTCCTCCTTGTGGTTCATCTTTAGGATCCTATAAGGTAACCCCAAAAAGGAAGTACAATGGAGCCTAGGGGTAAGCCCTAGCTACGGATCGTTCGAACGTAGGGCTCCTCTGCCGTTGCTAGTTGCTGCCACATCGTCCCGATGATTCTTGAACCGACTCCTTTGTAGCATCTCTTAACGTTCTAACATAGGGACCTTAATGCTTACCTGTACTATTTTGGGGGTTCCTTATGATATTTATAGTGTAACATATCCCAAAACCCTACTCTAATTATAAAGGCCCCTACATTGCAATACCTACCTGTACAGACCTACCTTTTTAGGGATTTTGGGTTTAGTGCTTAGGGTTCCTTATTATGGTTTCTGTGGATGGTTCCTCAAAAAAAGGTAGGTCTTTTGGGCCACAGGTATAGTCTCCATTGTAGTTCCTTTGACTGGTTGAACCAGTTTTATGCTTAGGATCCTATAAGGTAACCCCAAGAGTTAACTTCGATAGAGATCATGGGTATGTCGTATGTTGGAAGGATTCGTGGCTCGTCCACCGACCCAGGCATGTTCAAACCCGTCAAGCGACGTGGCAGGACGTGGTGCGCTATGTCATAGCGCAAGTCCTCGATGGCCGCACTCCAAGATTTAGTCTGATTTGAGGCGTTTGCATCTTGAGAGGCAGCCTTGAAATCCCAAGTTTACACACCTTGAGCCATTGAGTCGTTGCCCGCAGTGCTCGAACAAAACGCTGTGCCTTAGACTCATAGACCCAAGCTATCCAAAGCTGCCGAACATTCCCTAGTTTTAGCAAGCAATATTGATTTTCCACGAGGCCTTCAAGACATCCATCGAAGAGGTTGGATGCATCGAGACGTGAAGGCTCTGCAAGGATCTACAAGATTTAGCTATTATGCATTTAGGGGTTTCGGGTGTTGCCTAGTTGGGGTTTCGTTCTTGAAAGTGTCCCTGTGTCTATCTATTTCCTGGAGGTCTGACAAGTTAGATTCGTAATCCTTTAGGTCCGTTTAAACACTAAAACTAAAACTGCATAGATCCTCACTAAACTCAACTCTCTTGGAGGTGCACAGAAGCAGAGCCCGAATGACCGAAGTGACTAGTGACTAAGCCTAACCTTCACCAAGTGCCTGCAGTAGCCGGGGGTGGCACTGTGTCCTGGCTCGCCGTCCAGTGTCAGCCGGACGCACGAAAGTCGCTAGATGGTTTGGGGCGTTAGGCTGATGTTCGGGAAGGACAACCGCAGCTTGAGGAACTTGATCGGAGCAGCAAGTGGAGATTTCCCGATCTCCGGGCCCCTAAGTCCTAAACCCTAAATCCTCGTAGAGTTAAGGAGTCCAAGCCCAGGCTCTGGACCGCGAGGCGCATCCCCAAAACTCCCCAAAACCGTGGACGGTAGGAAAACTAAATCCCTGACGTCTTACACCTTGCCAAAACACGCTCCACCCGAGTCACACTCTCAAACCCTGCTATGAAAGACCGCTTGCCCTACTTTTCTAAAAACTTGCGAACATTTATACAATGTTACAAGCACTTTGAAACCCCGCAAAGTTAACAAGCTACAAGTCGAAGATAGTCGAAGCGACGCCCCTGCTTGCCCCAAATGCCTACGCCCTTAAACGCCAAACTACCAAACCCCTCATCCCAGAACCGCCTAAACCCTGGACCCTAAAGCCCTGAACCCTTGCACCTCTAACCCCTGAACCCTGGACATCTACAATAAATCCAGGCTGAAAACATCGGCCTATCCTGTGAGCTTAGCAGCTGGGGTCGGGATCTCAGGCCTCTGGGACTCCAGGTGCCTCTTATGGGGAGTTGCAAACAGCGGCAGCAACAGTCGTGGCTATTGTCGTCGTGGTTTCACCTTTAAAATGCTTGCATTTAATACTATGGTTGTTATTGTATGCTATCGTTACAGTTATCATCGCCCTAGTCACGAAAGGATTTTGTTCATTCATATTCTGGGCACAAATGTTTCGAGCCTAGAACCTCCTACGGTTGATGATAAAAATCCTGCATGTTTAGAGTAGGCCCTCAACCCCTGATGATAGGGATGAAGATGGTGATGAAGATGGTTGTGACAGGGCCGGTGACTTTAGTGATGATGGCTTAGCCCTGCAACCATCAGACTCCATAAGAGCCTGCCATTAAACCAATGACATGCAAACTCAAGGCGAACCTCGTGGCCCATGTCTCCAGCAAACGGTTGGCCTGAGGTCTATTGATTTTCCATGTAGCCTTACCACTCTACCTTTGGAGTTAACAGGTGATGGGAACCTGAAGGCTAAATAAGAAAGTTCATGGTAACTAGAAAATCTAGTCACGCCCCAATAGGCAATATCGCGTTTATCAATGTCATGTATTTACTTAAATACATAAACTAAACCCTAAGCCCCAATAGACAAGGTCTTTTTTTTACATGCCATGCGCCTCAATGAACCGTACTGCTGCTAAACCCCGAGTCCCAAAGAACACTGAACTCCTGTCCTGGCTTTTGAAGATCTTCTACTTTATAATGGTATCGTAATTACCATTCTTACTATTCTTATTATTACGTATGACTACTCTTACTATTGTTCTGTATTACTCTTGAATTTCCAGACCACTCTAGTCAAGCACTAGCAGGAGGCAAGCTTGGGGTATTGAGAGTTAGCGCTTGAGAGACCCACTGGTTTTGCTTCTGCGCCCGTGCCGAGACTACCGGAACTGCACCGTGAAGGCGCGGACGCGGTTCTGCAACCTTGTAACAGGAGCTAAACTCCTAGACGAAGAACCCTAAGCTTTATAAACCCTACAAACACTTCAAGTGTTGAGGGCTCCTCCCTGCATTACCTGTCATGGCACACCCCCTAACCCTCCAGGTACCTACTATATAGGGTACTCGAGCCCCTAGGGCCCTATAGTCCTAAACCCTATATAAACCCTAAATCCTAAACCCTAAACCCTAAACCCTAACCCTTAGTAGGCACCTGGAGGGTTAGGGACAAACCTGAGCCCTCTTAGGCCCTCTGGGCCCGGAGCCTCCCGAAGCAGATCGCAAGCCAAGCCCCAAAGTCCTACTGCCAAATGGGTGGTTGTCAAAAGTATGGTCCCTTTTTGGGTCCTTATTTTAATACGGCACCTATTATTTAGGGTACCCCAAAAGGGACCAAAATTTTGACAAATACCCAAATGAGAGTTTTGAGAAGAGGAGGGACTGAAGGTTTATAGGGGTTTAGGGTTTAGAGTTTTGAGAAGAGGAGGGATTGAAGGTTTAGGGGTTTAGGGTTTAGAGTTTTGGGAAGAGAAGGGATTTAGGGGTCTAGGGTTTAGAGTTTCAGAAGAGAAGGGATTAGGGTTTAGGGGTTTTGTGTAAAGAAGAGAAGGGATCAGGGTTTAGGGGTTTAGGGTTTATAGAGTTTCAGAAGAGAAGGGATGTTCCGGGTCTTCAAAAAGAAAGCGAGCTTTGAGCTACGAGGATCCTTGTTCTAAGGACCCCTAAACAAGGGACATGCCATTTTCAGAAAACCATCTTGGGTCACTCAGAACCCAAGATCCCCTCCTCAACCCGATCCTCAGAGCAAAATCCGTGGCTTTTGCTTAAACCTCCGGGTACCTACTATATAGGGCCCTAGGGCCTCTAGTACCCTTTATAGTAGGTACTCGGGAGGTTAGGGTATGCTGCCTTTTTGTAAGGCTGGTGTGCGTTTGTTTGTCTCTGTTTGTGTGTGTGTGTGTGTGTGTGTGGGTGGGTGGGTGGGTGGGTGGGTGGGTGGGGGGGTGTGGGTGCAAGGTCCTTTTTGGTACGGTGATGGATTTCTGCTTTCAGTTTGCCCCACCCTCGGTTTCGGAACTTCAATGTAATCTTCAGGAGGGGAGAGGGAGGGGTGGGATTAGGGTTTAGGGTTCAGCAGTTCGGGGGGGCGGACTCTGTCAAACACATACGGAAGCTGGAGAGCGCAATGGATTCCTGCTTCTCACGAGCTCATGAACTGGGAACCCGCAGTTTTCTTAGACTAGGCGTTCCTTAGGTCAGTGTCAGTCTTAAGAGATATACCCCAGAACCTCATTCTGATTATTCAGGCTCCTATATATTTAGCAGATCACAGCTTGCTCGCGGGATGTCATTGCAGCTTTATGTGCTCTCGAAGGACTCGAAGGGTATTCACTAAACTTCAACAAACCCTAAAGCAAAAACCCTAAACCCTAAACCCTAAACCATAAGCCCTAAACCCTAAACCCTAAACCAAAAACCCTAAACCCTAAACGCTAAGCCCTAAGCCCTAAACCCTAAACCCTAAACCCTAAACCCCCCAAGTACCAGGGACCAGTCATCTTCTCCAGTGGGGCCCCGGCACCCCAAGAGTCCTCTCCCTACGAGGACCCCCGAACAAAGCTTCATAGCCAACCCTGCACTGCCCACGGTTTAGGGTTTTGGGTTTAGGGTTTAGGGTTTAGGGTTTAGGGTGTAGGGTTTAGGGTTTAGGGTTTAGGGTTTAGGGACCCTGCACCCTGAACCCCTTAAGCCCTAAACCCTATAGCCTAAACCCTAAACCCTAAACCCCAAGCTCCTAAACTCTAAACCCTACACCCTAAACCCTAAAACCCTAAACCCTGAAAGCCCTCGACGACAACAACTGCCGACCCGACAGCCCTTCCAGAGACCCAGAGCCCCTGTTCAGCTTTTGGACTTCGATGTGGCCGCCGAAATTCCCCGTAGTGGACGCCTCACAGAGGTCCGGCGGTGGTCTTTTGCGTCTCCATTTAAAGGGCACATAGCTGGGATTGAGAATCTTGGCTGTGGGGCTGTCTGAGTAAGTCTCTTGCTGATGTATGTCCATCAAGCTTTGGTGTCCAGGGTGTATCAGGCTTGCGGCTTTCGGGCTTGCAGCTTTACTTCACGATTCAGGCATTCGAAAATCTATGCCTCGGGCTTGCAGCTTTACTTCACGATTCAGGCATTCGAAAATCTATGCCTCAGGGCGAGAAGCAGGTTCTGTGCCTCAAGATGTGCCCTTGCCCAATGTTGCAAGTTGTTGGGGCAAACCCTAAACTTAAAGCCTTCTTATTATAGATCCTTATGGAACCGTTGTGGTAGCCTTTGTTATATCTTGTGGCCCGTATGGTCCCCAATGAGCCCTGCAGGTCATCGGCACGGTGGAGAACATGGCTCCAGAGGCACATCGAACTAACATAGCAGCGTTACCACTCTTGAATGTTATCATTTTAAACTCGTATTCCATGAGCCTCCTTGTTCTAATGTGTACTATGTTATACCCCGGAATTCAGTTCAAATCACTAAGGCTGAGGCCTGTAGATTTCATTCCCGCGATCTCGATCCCAACCCCCTAGCGCTAAAGCCCTTTTCATCTATCTTCTGGCCAAGATCCTTACCATTGTCGGTAGAACAGTTGTTTTGGTGCCTTGAGCCATCGCGAAGGTTTTTCAGGGCACCTATGGCGAGCTGGCGGACATCTGGACCGCTTTTTGCAATTCATGTAGGGTTTTGGGTTCGGGAAAACCCCGAAAGCATCGGACTACAAAATGGCAGGCAAATCAACGGCCGTCGTCAACATCATCTGCAACACCGTCTCCATCACCACTGCAATCATCGCTGCCAACACCAGCAGTGCCCTGTTGTCATCATCTCTTCCTCAACAGCAACAGCGCTAATTCCCATTGTTGTTGCTGTCGCCGTCCTCGAAGCCATCATGATCGTCTTGATCACGGTGCCCGTCATCAAAATCGTCGACTCGGCATCGTCATCGTACGCACTTCCAGCTGAATCACGCGAGTGCTCTCCACCACCTTGTGTTTGTCATCACGTCATCTTTGCCTTGTTGAGTTGGATGTCATCCCCATCTTAGCCCTATATACCCTGAACGTGAAATCCGGAGAATAGAAGCTTGCCTGTAGTACCATGTGTAGGAAGGCGTACATTGATCCTTTCAACGCCTTCCAGCAAGCGTCGTGGCGACAGAGGTAGCCGTGCTGGTGGCGGCAGCAGCAGGCGTAGTGAAGTGGTGGTAACAGCAGCAGCAGCAGCAGCAGCAGCAGCAGCAGCAGCAGGAGCAGCAGCAGCAGCAGCAGCAGCAGCAGCAGCAGCAGCAGCAGCAGGGCTGTGGGTATGTACAATTTCCAGCTCTTCCAAGTTCTCAGTTGCGGCGCAAGCCCACTCTCCAATGCTTGCATCTACGTTACTATAGGAGCCTCAATTTTTTTGGGTTCCTTATTATAATTCTAGTGTAACGGGCCCCAAAACCCTATTCTAATTATTAAGGCCCCTATGTTAGGCTTTGTGTTCTTGCCCTATCATGGTGTCAGACTTCGCCAGACTTCAGGTTTCTTGGTGCTCCAGTCCCCCGGACTCATTGTCCTGCCACCGGTAAAACCTGCATTCCAGCTCTCCAAAAGGCTCAGAAGTCACCAAGGGGGAGCGAAGACTTTAGGGTTTAGGGTTGAGGGTTTAGGGTTTAGGGTTTAGGGTTTAGGGTTTAGGTCTATGGTCTCGGATTTAGGGTTTTGCCCCCCAAACTCTGCTTCAGCGAGGAGCGTCGGGGTCATTACCTACGAGGCTTTGTATGGCTACCGGCCTTTCAATGATGACGGGACACCCAGAAACAGGACGCTTAAACAGATTGGGGCTGCGGTAGTTTTCGGTGGATACCTACAGTGTACAGATTATCTACCAAGCGCTAGCTTACCCTATAAACCCTAGAATTTCGGTATTGGGTTCAACTACGAGTTTGCCGAAAGGTTGTGCAATCAGGTCTCTTCAGTGTCCTCAGGGTTCCGCTCTTATGATGTAGGGTTAAGTTTAAGGTTTAGTTCGGGGCTAAGCGTTTGGCGAACATGCTGCAGGCTCTGCGCCATGAATTGGGCACCTTTCCGTCTCGACATGGAAGAGTGGGATCATGTCACCTACTGCACAGGCTATACTACCTTGCCAGTATCCCTAAACCCTGACATCCTAAATCAACCCTAGAGGTACCCTGGGCCTGGAACCCTGCACTACCGTTTGACCTGGACCCAGAAGCTGCCTCAAGCCCCAAAGACACCGTGAAACAAGGCCAACATCGACCGCGTCGAGGAGATGGTTCGAAATTGGCAAAGGCGCCTCCACTGCTTGCCTCCGAGGTTTCGGGGATAACTTGAAGCTTCAGGGTTTTGAACTTAGGGTACATGGGCTTTAAGGCCGCGATGCTTCGCCTCTAGGGCTGCAGGTGTTGCTTCGGAGAGGCAAGAGCACGATCATGGGGCATTGAAGTTCTCCAAAAGAAGTCTTCACTCTTCATGTTTTTGGTTGTTATTTCGGTTTATAAAGGTTCATCCCGAGAAGCCCCATAGGCAGTGTTTGCAAGCTTTCGGGGCTTTGGGGGGGCTGAGCTGGGAACATGAGAGAAGAGTTGCGATCTGCTTCCAAGTCGAAGTGGCCGGTAGTGGAAAATGTCTACCTATAGTCTCCATTGTAGTTCCTTTTTGGGGATACCTGATAAAATCCTTAGTATATAATTGGTTAAACCAAAAAAAGGAACTACAATGGAGACTCTAGGTGGGCTTCCGTTCGGGTTGTTGTCAGAGCATCCAAGTCACACCAGAGGCAAGACAGTTGTTTTTTCTCAATACTGTTTCGCACGATGCGGTGTTGGACATAGCCACTGGAAGTGGAAATAAGGATCGTTATTCATATTTTTATACGATCTATTTAGTATGGTATATTGCATAATAACTTATATGTTAGATGTATTGTCTACTCTATATAAGGTTTATACTACTTATTATATCAGCTCTTGGCGAGACCTGGCAGGAAATCTGACAGTCTAAGCTGCTGAATTCGCAACTTATGCCTTTGACTTCCCGGCCCGAATACTTTGACTTCCCGGCCCGAATACAAAATGCATGAAGCCCAAGTCCTTGCGGCGGTACATACCAGAAACTGCCTCAAACGGAACGACTGGGCCACGATTCGATCATATGCATCGCGGCTCAAGGGCCGCACTGTAAACTAATCCGGGGTCGTTGCAGCTCATCAGTCGATGACTTTGTCCTAAAGTTCGAAGGCGTCATAGCAGTTGCATGGCAGAAGAGAAGACAAGCGTCGCAGTATAGCATTGCAGCAGGCTGAGAATGAGAAGCTCCTCAAACAGTTTCCGGTCCGATGTTGCCGAAGCTGGTTATACGTTATGACATAACTACAGTAACTTTGATACAATACCGTGTTGTCACATTCCATAACACACCATAAGATACGACGCATACGGTAATGTACTATAACATACCATGATACACACAAATTTATATATACATATACACATATATATATATATACACACACATACATATACATATATATATATATATATGTACGTACATACTATGTATGGACACGAAGCTCCCTCCATGGCTTTGGTCAGGTATCTTTTGTTCCCCTTTGATGCAGCAGAGCTGCCCGCAGCCAAGTTGCTGACTGTAGTGAAGGACCCTAACTAAACCCCCATTCAAATCCCCAAAGCCCTGAACCACAAACCGGAAGACTTTCTGTACGTTGGCGCTTGGGGTCTAAGAAGTTTACAGTTTGGAGCGTGGGAATGCTCTCATGGCCCTCTAGGAGGTACCTCCACAGGCAGGACTTGAGGACTTCCGCGATTACTGCCACATTGCTGGTGCCCTAAACTCCCAACCCTCACACCCTAACCCCTAATCAGCGTATTCTCCCAGCTTCCCTAGTTTATCTCTGAAACCTCGGAAGCATCCGAAGCTTTGGACCTTTCCATTTCAGGCTTGGTGGAAATCTGAGAGGTGGTTCACCGAAATGCCTGAAACCGGGTACAGGACAGCGGGAATCCGAAATACCTGAGCCCTATGCAGCATCCTGGAAGCCCCTTTGCATAGCACCTGACTTTGTGGAGTGTTGTAAGGGCCTAGACGGCTTTACTGCGTTTGTTGCAGGTGTTCGTTGGGTTGTTTCATCTGCTGACCTCCAAAGGCAAAAGCGAGTCATGGATTCTGAGACTAGGGCATCCTGGGGGGAAGAGTCTTCAAGCGAGACTCCAGAGCCCTTTCGTCTCGATGGCGATGAGAACAGCGACATACGCAGAAGCTATGGAAGACCCTAAATCCAAGCCCCTAAACCCTAAACCCTAACCCCCCAAGCCCCAAGCCCCTATACCCTAAACTCCCTAGCCCCAAGCTGGAAGCCCCCTAAGCCAAACCCTGCAGCTGCAGAACGAATCCAAAAGTTGATGTCTCGGTGCCTTGAGGCCAACGAACTTCATCCGCCTTATGCTTGCCGATCCTCAGGCAGAGCTTTGGTGTGGGGGGGGGGGGGGGG